GTCGAGCCCAGAACAGCACCATGCGGCTGCCCCAGGGTGCGACCCCCGGGTTAACCCGCTCTGAGGGTTGTCGATCTACGATCTATCGCAGATCTTTCTCGTTTCTTCATCTCTCGCTTTGCTTGCGCTTCGGTGGCTCGCAACCGAATCATAACAAGGGCGATAAGAAAAATGTCGAAAAATGCCAGGATCAAGGAAGCAACCTCGCCTGGACCTTCCTTCCACTTAGGATCCTCCTTCTTCTTCTCATGATCAATATACACTATCCTTACCAAAGCGAGGACAGCAACAAGAGAATTGAATTTGGCAAAGTCAAATTCCGCTTCGCGAAGTCGATAGGAGAACAGGGAGACCAGGTCCAGAACGAGGAGAGCCGAGGAAAAACACTGACAGCACAGCGAAGCTGGCTGCAGGTCCGTACCAAGACTCCACTTGCTAGTAGCCCACCAAGAAACTGAAAAAATTACCAACTGCACGATGAGAAAGAAGACATTGGTTTTGGAATACCAATTCTTTAAATAACGACAGACAGCCCTGGAACAGGGGTTCTCCAACACACGGGAGAGGAAATTTTCGGCCGAACGAAAGGCCCAGAAAGTCATGGTGGGAGAGGAAAGGAGAGAAAGGAAGCTTTTGGGTTGGATTTGGATTGGAAAATGGGAAATTGGAATTGGAAATTGGAATTTTGGATCACTTTTGGTACCTCATGTACGACAAAGAGGAAAAGGATTGAGAAGCATTCGAAAAGTTCATTACATACCTGTAAACATTGATCGTCGTTCTTTCCTTCTCTCAAATTTCCCAAGTTGTCAGGAGCCATTGAGTGCTTGGATAGACTTGCACATGATTTGATTGTTCAGGTACATTCCGTAACATTTATCATCCTGAATATTCAAGAGCTTGTCAATGTTTAAATGAGTGTCAATATTCGAGTGCTTATCAATGTTCATGTATTTAGAAATTTTCAAGTGTTCATTGATATTTAAATGCTTGTTGATATTCAAATTCTTGTGAATGTTTGTATGCCTTTCAATGTTTGAGTACCTACTTTTGAATGCCTGAGTGTTTATCAATACTTATTAAGCGCTTTTTATTATCCCAATTGTTTGTAAATATTCAAATGCTTAAAGATGTTCATAAGTTTTTGATTATTTAGGATTCTTGGAACATTCAAGTACAAGTCTCAAATGATTCTCAGGTCCTTGTTCATTTTTCAACTAATCATACATGTCTCAGCTGTTATCAATGAATAAGTAACGATAAACATACAGCCATTACTGATACTTTCAATGAAATTAATTACTCGATTTCCCTATATTGTGTAATAGACTTTGGTGGTTTTAATCTCATTGAATATGCTATGATCGCATATAGACTGAACAGACTCATGTGCTTCTGATGGCGAGCCCCTAAATCTTACTTCATGAAACTTAATGAGTTCGAATTGATCCGAAATCTATTTGACGAAATAGTATAAATTCATCTTAAAGTGTCTTACAAATAAAAGAGATATTGAGAAGAAGTAGATCTGATCAATAATTTACCTATCGATTTATATCTTATTCAGTGTCAAAGTCACAAAAGAACTGACACGTTCTCTTAACCATAGAAGACTTAAATATATTTTTACTCAGATAATTGATTCTATTCTCACAATCTAAAATTCTGAATCTCTATCACTTCCAAGTTTCTCTAATCCCGTTTCCCCTTATCTTTATTTAACTCTACAACTCACCACTCTCGTATCTGCGGCCCTCCCTCCACTTTCTCGAAAATTCTTTCTTGCCACCTGAAACGCCGAATCCTCATCCAAATAAACAGATGAGGCAAGCACGATCTGACTGAAAACACTCACCATGGAATCCGGTACTGAAATTTCTGTTCTCGTTGATGAAATCAGGTAGGAATTATCAACCCATTATACTGCAAGATCCCGACTCCTTTCCGGTCACAATCCATCACTGGCATTATGCGTACCTGCCTTTTTACAACAATCATCCATCAAAAATAAGTAAGGATAATTCCGGAGTTTATGATCTACATATATCCGAATCTTCAATGAGTCACTCTCATATACTTTGGTAGAGATGAATGAAAATAGTTAAATGGAGAGGAATATTTTAATATATAGAGCAATTAAATGCCCTCATTTAGCCTCAACCAAATGATGATGCATGTATTTACCTATAACCTTTATCAGTCACCCAAAATCCTCTCCACCCCCAAAGAGTCCTATTCTCCCACTCCTATCTTACTCAAGAACCCTTTCCATCCTATGAAAATCCAGCAAGTTAAAAGCAAACAATGAGGAAGACGATCATGGATGAGCACAACTTCGCGTCCGCTCTACCTCTGCGCTTTCACCTGTGCCTAGAATTTCCTCATGTCCCGTATCAACTACGTAGACTCTAAAAATCCAAAAGTAGAAATGCTATCTATAGTTATCGTTGTCTGTAGTAACGTATCATTGTCACTGAGCAATTTTCTTCTCACGTATCTCATCATCAACGACATCAGGTAATCTTCTCACCGTCACTCTTCCTATCATCTTATCATTTACAAACCTGCAGATTCTGTCACCTCAATCACAAATTCTCATTCTCCATTCCCCACCACTTTCTGCCTCCCCCTTACAGATCAAGCCCAAATCTAGACCCGAAACCAAATCCGAAACGAAAACCACCGCCATCAACCACCCACCTAGAATCCAAAATCCAATAATCCCAAAATTCTTTCCTACTCCATAAAATCCAACAAGCAAGCTCACCCACTTCCTAATACTTTTCAATCTCCACATACACATGCATACATCCAATACACACCCACCCACCAATCCACGCCCCGCAATTATACCTATTTACATTATAGATTACAGCCAAGAACCGAAGCGAGAACCGAAGCGAGAATTTCGTATCACTTACTTCTTCGACTTGACTGCAACCTCATCAACTTAACGTAACTCAACTTAACTCTACTCGAACCCAATCCCAGATAAAGCTAAAAATATTATACAATATACATACATATATATAATATACACATATACCTACTTTTATATATAAATATATCCCCTAGAGTACGGGAAAATGGCGCTCATTATGATCTGTACAATATACCTTGTATGAAGAACTATGATTGGTTAGATTGGCTTTTGTAATGCTTTTTTAATCACTTTATTTATAAATAGGAATCTTGATTTCAAAATATAGTTTTCTAAAAAAAATTAAAAAAGAGAAGATCAGAAATTAATATATATTATTTTCTTCAAATTTTGAAAATAGAAATAATATTAAAAAGATTTTATATTAAAGATTGAATGTGAATATGTGATTAAATTCCAAGTATTCTGATATTCTGATTGGTCACTAAGATGCCTGCTAAGCGAGGGCGCCGAATGTCCGCACTCTAGGGGATATATATATATATATATACAATATACGTAAGACATATATAAAAAACCAACTCAACTCAAGCCACCAACATATCTAAAAACAGAGCCAAAATTCTTCAAAGCATCTCAAAAAATCCATAATATTCAAAATAAGAAAAGAACAACTCGCTTATCACTATCTTCTCCTCGGGTATTAGAAACATTATATCTACATCATCAAATCAACTATTTCCCCTCTTCCCATATAATTATTATAAATCTAAGATCAATCACTCAATAAAACTCATCGTCTATTTCATTATAATTAATCTTTTCAGCCTCCGAAGAAATGATAAAAAAAATAAAAAGCAAAAAGAAATAAAAAATCTCAAGCTAATATCCCAAACTACAATCCGAGATTTAATTCAATAACTCCTTCGATTTATATCTTCCCTATTCTTCTAAACCTCAATACCAAACTTGATTTATTCCTTTTCTTCCCATCTTCAGGTTTTCTTCTATTTTTCTCTACTTATCAAAAATTTAGAAAATTCACCATCATATTCACAACTCCCTTCTATTCCATCTCATCTCACAAACCCCATCATATCATCACACTTTCAACTCCCAAGTTCCAACTCCCAAATAAAATAAACCTTTCCATCCCATTCCATCTCACAAACTCCATCAGACTTCCAAAATCAAAATCAAAAGTCAGAGCAGTTTCACATTTTCACATTATCACATCTACGCTTCTGCTTCTGATAATCCTTACTTTAGCATCCCCCTCTCATCCCCCTTATCACCCTCATCACCCCCATCTTTCCCTCTCTCAATTTTTAATCCCTTTTAATATACTATACTATAAAATACTATACCATACCATACAATAACATACAATAACATAATACAACACAACAAATATTTCTCATCCCTAAATGAATATCGATATTTACATCTCTTTTTCTATAAATTGCTATAATGATTTTTGTTATTCAAGTTGTTTATGTGATTATTAGGTATTGTATGTTATATGTCATATATTATATATAATATATTATATATAATATATTATATATCATGCACTATACAGTATACTATCAAATACACATTATATATTACATATCACTCATTCCCTCCCCATCCTCCTCTCCCATCCCTCTTCTCCTCTCCCAGTCCTCCTCTCCCATCCAGATCCGGAAGCATGCAATCATGAAGCCTGTCCACATTCACATAGCGGACATCCCACGCGATCCTCACCCAATACCCTATCTCCCAATGTCCAATTCCAAACACCCCAATTCCAAGCCCCCAATCCAATACCCAACTCCATGTATCCATCCCACTATACCACCCACTATACCACCCTCCAACCCCCCTCAAAACCACCCATCTACATCTCCATTCCCACACCTTCATTCTCCTATTCTCCTATCCGAACTCCAGAACCGAGCTCTCAAGTCAAAACATGATTGCTAGCCCCCTTTTGAGCAACCACAAACGATAGTTTTCCCCTTTTTCTCCGCTGCATTTGAAATTGGCATCTTTTTTCATCTGTTACTCCTGGGGTTCTTAATGGATAACAAATGTATTGATGGCACATTCATAAGTCTGGTAGTTGTTGAATCTATGTATGATATTAATTCTATAAACAGATGCTGCTATTAAATACATCTTTTGTACCATTGAATGCATCTTATTAAATTGTACAATACTAATCCTTCCCCCATCTATATTTAAAATTATGTCCTATGTATGTAAGAACTGGTATTGTTGCAGAAATTTACAACTCATGATTATTTCCTCTTTCCACGAAAAAAAAAGACTTAACACGGTATATAGACTTCTGCCAGAGGGTTGAAGTAGATCGTGCTTCATGATCCAGTACCTTGTACCCATGGGCAGTGAGACTCAAAGTCGGAATTCCGTATCCATTCCCCTCATAACAGCCATTTATGCCAAAGTGACTGGCTTTGGCTTCCATATCGCCCAACTAAAAGAGATCACAACTTTTATAGCAGCAGCAAGCCAGAGAGCAGCAGATAAACCAGCCGAACTTCGACTGATCCAACCCCCAGCAATTCCACCAGAAAGAATAGCAAGAACCGCTCCCACTCTTCTATTCCTCTTCACATTATTTCGTGCAAGTACCTTTGGATCCGAAGCAATGTCACAGTAGACACTGGTCAAAACCGTAGTAGGAATTTCATTGAAGCCCAGAATTCTCGATGTAACAATTTGACCACCCGATTGAAATGCCAGGAATGCTAAGGGAATCAATTCGATAAAATTGACTTCATCCTCGATTGACTTGACCCCAAGTGGTTCTGGTACCACATTTCTTTGTACCAATGCTGCAGCGATTATGATACAAATTCCTTGTAATAGAAATGATATGGATAGGATCCCGCGAATCTTTCCGGCGCCGAATCGTCGTGTTTGGGCGAAAAAGAGACAACCGCAGAGGAAGAAGAATATGGAAATTAGGGATTTTACCCAACCGTACGGATGACTGATTGGTTGACCAGATGCGCCGAGAGCTAGAAAGATGGTATTACCTGTCGAAAGATGTATTAGTAATGAATATGGCATAAATATTGACAACAGACAGAAATATTGCAGAAACGCATACCGGTTTGCATAGAAACAAAACATGTCCAAGCATTGTAGGCACTACTGTCGCAGATACCGGAAACGAGAGCACATGCTATCATTGGCAAATCAGCATGAACGAGACTTATCTCTTCACTGAAATGGGATTTTGTTCTAGCCCATAGAGAATCATGGGTTTCTTTAATAGACGCATTATGAGATCGGCTGGGAGAAGGAAGTTCTGTTGTTGGAAGGGAACTTTGAGCTGCAGGACCCGATTCTTCGAGTGAGGGGGCTTTCACCATAATTGGTCGAATTCGTCACCGAGTCTTGGTATGATGGATTGACGGATTGATGAATTGACGAATCAATAATTGAGTACTGGTACTCGAACAAACGAAAGATAAGGAGGGTAATGAATGCAATGTACCTGGGTATGAGTACAAGTCAGAACATAAAAAATGAAGATATACTTGGGAGACAACGTCGAGTCATATTAATATGAAAATAAATATAAATATAGATTTATATTGAAGACGGGAAATTCTATGACGGAATCAAAGACTCATATTGGATAATGCCGGCCATTCGAATTATTATTTTCTTATCATGACTAGGAAATCTCACAGACAAGACAAGACAAGAATAAAAGAAAATCTCAGGAGAAAGCTCGGATTGAGTCGGTATCGGCAATCAAGCAATCATCCATATCCATGGATCCATGGATTATCTAATACCCACCCACTCACTCCAGTCGATACCCAGTGCGTGCCCAGTGCCCACCCACCTCCTATCAATCCTTGATCAAAAAAAGAACCCTTAATGGGTCACGTGTGGGTCCTCAGTTCCTCAATAAAAGAGATGGGAATTTTCAGTTTCGCATATGAACCAATCATGAATTTCATATCTGGCATTTACTCATTTCAACCAATGAAATCTCTTCCATCTCCAACTTAATAATCGGTTTGATAAAGACTCAACGCAAATGCCACATACAATCTCACAAGCTAAACCCAAAGTAGTTACATCTTCCTCTAAAATGTCTGAATTTTCCCGTAGGGTCTTGTCTGGTCTTGTCTTACATGTGATTTCTAACTCTAAACTCCTTAGTGGCACAAGCTGATTGCGCTCCACCCACCAAAAAAAATCCATTATCTATAATCTTTTTTTTCTTCACCCCTCATACACTTTCTCTTCTCTTCATCCTTCTTCCTCTTCCCCCAAACCCTTCTTTTTGATAATTATCTTAGCCACACGCGGCCAAGATACAACTTCAACATAGAAAAAACGAGATTCAAGTCTTCTTGTTTCTCACTTCTTCAAAGACTTCATTCTGCTCGGTCAGAAACTCTCCACTCCAAAATCCCGACAATCTTTGCGAATTGCGACCAATCCTAGGTTCCTTTCGACCCAAAGAACACATTTTTCCCATTTTTCAAAGAATTTTCTTCTCACGATTCAAATTTTCCTTATTTAGAAAACGAATTACATCGATACCTTAATATTACACACTTTCGAAAGTTTCTCCAGGCATTATAATGCCACATCAGGAATCTCCCACCCACGAGATGCCTACCATGATTTCGAAGGCACCAAATGGTGTTGCCCCCACACAAGAGGAAGTTTCCGGTATCCTCGATAGCATTTTCGAAGCAAAGACATCCGCCGCATCAGTCGATGCATCGTACGCTCTCTGCGACCTTCTTCTCAACTCCGTCGGCTTCCGCGGACTTCAAGATTATGGCATCTTAGCACAAATCAAGAAGGCTGCGGCTGATAAGAAGAGTGGATTAAGAAGAGAAAGCGCCCAAAATCTTTTGGGTGCTCTCTTTGAGCGTTTCCCTCCTAAGCAAAAGATCTCCGAGGTTGTCTTTCTTTTGCAAGATACTACCTTGGTACCATGTGCATTTGACGCTCTCGCCGACAAGGGCGCTGTCGTTCGCGATGCTGCTCAGTATGCTCTCGACGCATTATTCTCCAACTTGAACGCTGAAGGTCTCGTCTATGGTCTCCTCCCAATCCTCATTGCTTATCTCGCCAAACGAACCGGAAAGTGGCAAGGAACTGTCGCTGCATTCAAGTTAATACAAAAGATGGCAGACAAGGCACAAATGTCTATTGGTGGCAGCAAGGAGGAAGCTGATGAGAAGGACTTGTTGAGAGAAATCTTGGGTGCAAAATTGGCACAGTTGATTCCTCTCGTCGAGGCTGGAATGCACGACTTGAAGTCCGAGGTTGAGAAGCAATCTGTCACTACTATGACTTCTTTGACCACCCTTCTTTCCAACGACGATGTTGCTCCCAGAATCCCACTTTTGATTGAAACCATGCAAAAGCCAGGAAAGGAGACCCTCCAAAAGGCTATCCACGCTTTGTCTCAAACCACTTTCGTTGCCATTGTAACATCTCCCGTTCTTGCTCTCCTCACACCCCTTCTCGAGAGATCTCTTAACGACCGCGCTACCGCACAAGAAGTTTTGAGACAAACCGTCGTCGTTGTTGAGAACTTGACAAAGTTGGTTCACGACCCTGTTGAGGCTCGTACATTCTTGCCAAAGTTGCAACCTGGTATCAAGGGTGTTTTGGAACGTGCATCCTTGCCAGAAGTCAGAGAGATGGCTGATCGTGCCATGAAAGTCATGGACAAGGCTATGAGCGATGATGCCGGAAACGTTGCTAACGGTGTCGCACACGTCACTAAAATCACTGCTGCTGATGTTTCCAAGGTTCTCGAAGCTGAGATCAAGAAGGCAGGAGGACTTGCCGATAACTCGGATATCGCCAAACTCACAAAATCATACATCTCTGATATGCTCGTTGAGGATGTCAACCATCGTCAAATTGAACGTGTTGCTGCCAACGTCACACCCTACCTTGAGCACATCATGAAGCAAGAAGGATCAGCCGCTACTGTTGGTGATGCTGTTCAACAATTCTACCTTGAGGAAGACCACCGAAAGTTTGGACAACCAGTCAAGGAGGATGATGGTGAAATTGAAATTGTCAACACAAACTTCTCCTTGGCATACGGAGGTATGCTTTTACTCAACCACACCAACCTACGCCTTCTTAAGGGTCACAGATATGGTCTCTGTGGTCGCAACGGTGCCGGAAAGTCGACTCTTATGAGAGCCATCTCAAACGGCAAACTCGAGGGTTTCCCAAGTCAAGATGAACTCCGAACATGCTTCGTTGAACACAACCAAGGTGAAGATGCTGATATCAGCATTTTGGACTTCGTCGCAAAGGATCCAGAAATTGCCAAGGAAGGTCGTGAACGTATCTCCGAGGTTTTGTGCGAAGTCGGCTTCACTGCTGGTCCAGAAGGTCGTCAATCTGAGAAGGTTGGATCCCTTTCTGGAGGTTGGAAGATGAAGCTTGCTTTGGCCAGAGCTATGTTGATGAAGGCTGATGTTCTTCTCCTCGATGAACCTACCAATCACTTGGATGTTGCCAACGTAAAATGGTTACAAGAATACTTGAAGGCCCATACCGAAATCACCAGTTTGATTGTTTCTCACGACTCCGGATTCTTGGATGAAGTCTGTACCGACATCTATCATTACGAGCCAGGAAAGAAGCTTGCCGTCTACAAGGGTAACCTTGCTGCTTTCGTCAAGCAAAAGCCAGAAGCCAAGAGTTACTACACTCTCTCCGACTCTCTTGTCAAATTCAAGTTTCCTCCTCCAGGTATTCTTACCGGTGTTAAATCTCAAACCAAAGCCATTCTCAGAATGTCCAACTGCTCATACACCTATCCGGGAGCTACCAAGCCATCTCTTCACGAGGTTTCCTGTCAATTGACTTTGTCTTCCAGAACCGCCATTATCGGTGGTAATGGTGCCGGAAAGTCTACTTTGATCAAGCTTCTTACTGGTGAAACCATCCCAACATCTGGTAATGTTTACAAACATCCCAACTTGCGTATTGGATACATCAAGCAACACGCTTTGGAGCACGTTGAGATGCATTTGGAAAAGACCCCCAACCAATATCTCCAATGGCGTTATGCTAACGGAGATGATCGTGAGGTACACATGAAGCAAACACGTATCTTGTCTGATGAAGATAAAGCTCAAATGGAAAAGATGATTGATCTCGGTGATGGAACCGGTGCAAAGCGTATCGAAGCTATCATGGGACGTCAAAAGTACAAGAAGACTTTCCAATACGAGATTAAGTGGGTTGGAATGTTGCCAAAGTACAACTCTCAAATCTCTAGAGAAACTTTGGTTTCTCTTGGTTTCAACAAGTTGATCCAAGAATTCGACGATCATGAGGCATCTCGTGAAGGTCTTGGTTTCCGTGAGCTTACTCCAACTGCCATCTCTCAACATTTCGAGGATCTTGGACTTGACCCTGAAATCGCCAACCACAACGAGATCTCCGGTCTTTCCGGAGGACAAAAGGTCAAGGTTGTTATCGCAGGAGCTATGTGGAACAACCCCCATCTTTTGGTTCTTGACGAACCTACCAATTTCTTGGATCGTGACTCTTTGGGAGGTCTCGCTGTTGCTATTCGTGACTACAAGGGTGGTGTCGTTATGATTTCTCACAACGAAGAATTCGTTGGTGCTCTTTGCCCTGAGCAATGGCATGTTGTTGCTGGTCGTGTTACTCACAAGGGTACCATGGCTATCTCAGCTGATCGTTTCGAAGATAGCAGACCATCAAGTGGTTTCAACAGCAGTGTTGCAAGTGCTGCAACAAGTGCTAGTGCCAGTGCTGTTAACAGTGGTGCAGAGGATAATGGGGATCTTGGCTTCAAGGCCAAGAAGAAGAAGAAGAAGACCAAGAAGGAACTTAAGGAGTCTGAAGTTAGAAAGAGACTTAGACACATTGAATGGTTAGTTGATCTCCTGTTTGCTAAACTTTATACTCGTACATCATGCTAATAATATCTTAGGCTCAACTCTCCAAAGGGTACTCCTCATCCAGCTGACACTGATGACGAATCATAATGGAATTGGAATCAGCCAGATACCAAAATTTGCTTCTTGCATATATGTTCATATTCATTAGAACGCGGTCACCATTAGAGGGTCATTTATTTCTGGATGGATCGACACGTATGATATAAAAGCGATGTTCTTCGCAATTTCATTTTATGATTTCATGATCAATAGGGTCGTATGAAAAGAATGGCGTTATGCGTACTTTATAGACGGGGCGGATGGGATCTAATCTTTCCTGATAAATGTCTTTTTGAAATGAATGTTTGAGTTATGATAGGACGGGTTTGTCCAGTAACTAGGAGGATAGATCAATAGATAGGTAGATAGATAAAAGGATGGGTGGACGCCAGTGCCGATGTGCGGAGGCTGGAAATTGAATAGTCAATTTACAACATGTTTGTTCCTATCAAAGTGCATGTGTTGGTGATAAGTGCGCTGTTAGTTATATTGATGAAATCTTTCTTCTTGTACCATTGATAGCTGCTTACTCTTCACGAGGGAATCGAATCTCACAAGAACGGGCACTCCAAGAAACATCAGCTTACTCGATGTACGATAGTGATATTGGCCCACTACATCGTGTGTGGTTTGGTTTGATTTAGATTGCTTTTCTTGATGTGTGTATGTGTGTGTGTGGTATTGGGGTAATGTTTTGGGGTGGTTAGCAATGTAAGAGAGAGAGAGGGGGGGGAGAGGGGTATGATGGTGATTTTGTTTGTGACTGTTTTTGTGTATTTGTATTTGTACGAGGGGGAACGTACTGTAATTTGTTTGGTGATTGGGAAAAATGCGTAGATTGATATTTTTGGCATGAGTTGAGCTGAGTTAGGTCAGGGTATTGAAGATGGAGATGCCGAGATTTTCCGCCCCCGTATTGTACACCCACTGATGGCAATTCTCGCTTCGCCCCCGCCCCCGCTTCGCTTGGCCCCCACCCCCAAGTTGGGGAGGAACGTCTTTATCTATTTTCGAGTGGTTGTTTCATGCTGGTATCCTGATTCATGATGACTTTACTTTTGTGTCTGTCTGGCTAGCGTTTCCGCAATTGTGAGTAGGTAACCTTATTTATATGATACTCAAGAACCTTTCATGATTTTCGTATTTTTTCATGCTCGCTTCTCGCTCGCTTATCTTGTGTTCCATTCTTTACTTCTACTCGTGAATGATTCATCACGATTCACACTGCATTCCCATACCTTCTCTCCCTCAATAAACGAGATAAATTTAGCATGTCCACCTCCGCAATCCTATCCTCTCTCCACGATCTTCCGGCCCAAGCACCGCCCCCGGGAATAAGAGCGAATCTCGCACATCCGGAAAGTAAAGGATATGTACTCATACTCGTTTCTTCTGTGCTTTTTTTCTTCATGATGGTTTGTTTTTTCGCGAGGGTGTATGTTAGATGTACGGGGAAGAGTTATGTTTGGGGGGATGGTAAGTTGGATTTATTTATTTTCTATAGATGGGATGGGATTAGAATGGTTATTCTTGGGAACTTTGCTAATGGGAGTTGGCATAGTGAGCTGTTTGTTTGCTACAGTGAGTAATTCGGATGGGGAGTGATTTTTTGTATGTTTGTTTGAGTGGCTTGAGTTGATTTATTTTGTTTCGTTTTGGAAGGCGTTCGCGGTGGCTTATTATATTGCTTCGATTATTGGTAAGTTTCTCATTTACTTTCATGGAAATCAAAATACAACCTTCGATTCTTTTTAACACTATGAAATTAGGTGTGACCCGAGGACCAGTAGGAAAACACCAATGGGACGTAACGATCGGGGATGTAACAAGCAACGACTTTATAATCGTAATACGCCCCTTCCCTCCCTCCTCTTATGCTCCCTAACTAACCACCTACCCCAAACCCCCAGGCGGTCGCCTTCCTCAGCAACGCCCTCGTATCTCCCACTCTCCTCCTCACAAAACTCACCCTCTTCCCAGTGTTGTAATTAGTATTTTCCGTATTTCAGTTACGCCCCACTTTAGTGGTACGTATTGATATTTATGATAATATTTCGGTAATTATTATTGAATTATATATCACTGAAAGTATTTCATATTTCAATAATATTGAATATCACTAACAATATACCGAAATACGGGAATTTGCATATTTCTATTCAAATATTACATATTTTGAATGATCTCTTTCCTTATTAGGCTTAAAGTCAATCAAAATATACAATATTCGAATCAAAATATGTGAATTCCCGTATTTTAGTATATCTTCAGTATAGCTTTGTTTGTATGATACGTACGGACGTGGATATGATTGGCTATTATACGTACTAGCGTGCGTATTATACTCTCTATATCAGCCACAGTAATACTATCGTATACTAATTACAACACTGCCTCTTCCTCCTCTATCTCGATCTTTTCCGTCCTTTTAAATGGCTGCGCACATGCGTCTACATTGGAATCTGCATCACCGTTCTTTTTTACTCCACAACCGGTATCCTGATGATTATCTGGAGTTCCCCCCACGCAGACGAAACATGGCAAACGCATCTTTTTACCATGGAACAACAGTATGCGCAAATCTATGCGTCGCCTTGGTCGGCGGTGGGATTGGGAATTGATTTGTTTTTGTTGGGGTTGCCGTTGAAGGCGGTGGGAGAGCTCTGTTTGCCGTGGAGGAGGAAGGTGGTTGTGGGAATTGTATTTTTGACAGGCATTTTGTGGGTGCTTTCTTTGTGGTGATTTGCTTTGATTTGATTTGATTTAACTTTATCTTTGGGGCTACGTGATTTTTCTGATGACTGATATTTGAGATAGTGCGTGCATAGCTTCCACGCTGAGCGTTTATTATCGATTCATCAACAAACAGAGTAATACGAAAGATACGACGTATGCTCTTCAGAACGTTATTATCTGTTCGTAAGTATTCTCTTTCCTTACATTGAAATATGGTTTCTTAACCGCAGATAGATTGGCAGAAATGTTCATCGGAGTAATTGTTTCCTGTATGCCTGCAACATGGAATCTTCTCCGTCAATGTATTCCACATTTCTTGGCTTTAAAATCGAAACTCTCATTTGCATCGGGGAGTTTCTGGAAAAATGGTGGAGATTCGCTTTCGCGAGGTGAGGTTAGTTCCGAAAAGAGTCACCAGGCAGCTGGTGGATTGCATGACAAAACGAATAATTCGTTGAAGGGCTCTTGGGAGGAAGAGAGACTTGCGAAATTGGGGGTTGAGCTTGCGAGGCTGGGAAAGGCGAAGGTGTATTTTGGGAAGGAGAAAAGGCATGGTTGGGCAGATGTAGCGCACGATGAGAGTTATCTGCAGCGGGATGCTTGGTGAACTTGTTGAGTGGGTTTGGGATAGCAGGGATGAATCGAGAAGTTTTGAAAGCTGGGGGAGGGAATGAGGTCTGTTAGTCTTGTGAGATCAGTGTTTGTCGATTTGCTTGACTCCGGATATGAATTGATGAATACTGGGGAAGAAAATGCTTCAATTTCGATATTCCAACCTTTTTTTTCTCGAACATGGCCTTGAGACGGTAATTTACCGGCAACATGGTTGCCCAGGGTAATGTGGACTCTGAATTTCCAGGGTGACTGCAATTTCGTTGGCATCATGTTGTATGTACGGCACAGACGGTGGTGAATATTAACCCAAGCGGAGCGGTCAATAAAGTTGGATTGCTAATTTACTCTACATGAACACTCGGTTCTAAAAAATCGGTTTAATAATATGGACGAGTTGTTCTAGAACAGAAATCTAAAATGAGATCTTCTCAGGTAATTCAATGTCGGAGATATCTTAGAAAACGTTTTTCTTTCTCAATGATGTTACGTGAGCTAAGTGCGCATAATTCTTGCTCAGAGTCTCTTTCTAATCAAATCCTGTAATTCGACATGGACGACGAAGTTATACTTACCACCGGTGGATGTGGATGTATGGGCTACCACATCGTCCAAGCAGTTCTACAAGAACTATCCTTCAATTCCGTACACGTATATTCGCGCAATCCCACTGTGAATCTCCAGCCCGGCGTTTCATCCCATGCCGGGAGTTTAACTTCACCAAAAGACATCAAGTTGTTATTTGACCTCATCAAACCAACTTTGATTTTCCACGTCGCATTTCCTGTCTCCTTTGTAAATTCCGCAAATGCAAATCTCTTCTACGAAGTCAATGTTTGTGGAACGCAAAATCTTCTCGATTGCGCTGCGAGAAGTTTGTATACCAAAGCTTTGGTTTATACATCTTCGACTACTGTATCGAAACCTCATTATCATTTTAATGATGAAACACAACCTTTGATTGACCTTAACTCAAAGGCAGATTTCAATTACTACACGGTCACCAAAGCGATTGCAGATATCGCTGTTTTAAAAGCCAATATTCCGAAAGGTTTAAGGACATGCTGTCTTCGTATTGCTCATATATATGGTAAACATGATGTGCAGATGATACCAGGGACTCTTGGAGTTCTCCAAGAGAAACACCATCATTCTCAATTTGGGGACAATACAGCTTTGATGGATTTTGTTTCTGTTAGTAATTCCGCAAGAGCTCATATACTAGCCGAGAAAGCTCTTCTCAGAGAACTCCAAGCTGATAGTTCAACAAACGAGAAAATAAGTCCGAAAATCTCAGGTGAAGCATTTTTCATCACAGACGGAAATCCCGTCCATTTTAGGGATTTCGCACATAAAGCCTGGGCCGCAGCTGGGACTACCGTAGACCGTAAAGATATCCGGGTCTTTCCTGCATGGTTCATGATTGGACTTGCGGTTGTGACGGAGTGGATTTACTGGACGTATACTTTTGGGACGGTGATGCCGGAGAAACTGAGAAACTGAGAAGTCATACGATGAGGTATATTACGGAAGATAGGACGTTTTCTATTGAGAAGGCGAGGGACATTGGGATATAGACCGGTGAATGCTATGGAAGAGAATATTAGGGAGGGAGTTGATTGGGCGGTGAAAGAAAGGCTGGAATTGGCGGGTTTGAGGAAAGATTGAATGTGGAGAGAGTTGGGCTGGAGGTATTGGGAGGTATGAGATAGGGTATAGAAGCGCGCTTGTTTGAGTTTGTATATAGCGCATTAATTTTGATAAGTAACTTCCACGCCTTTAAAAGCAGATAGACTCTCCTACTTATTCTACATACTCAAAACTCCTAATAATAGTTGGCTTTTATAAACAACTGACTAATTCCTAATTAAAGAAAGCAAGTATTCTTGGAAAGTGAATATCCCTATAAGATTTTGAGTACGAAATATACCAAAACCATTTAATTTTATTAAAAATCTAATTTCATTTTTAATATATAACCTTTAATTTTTGAATAATTTTTGAATTTTTTATATAATTATATTTAATAAGATTATAGTTTTCTAATAATATTAGATTTTTTTGAATTATTTCAAAATTCATAATATTATTTATAAAATTTAAATATTTTTCAATAAAAATTACAAAATCTATATCCAAAATCTTACAGGGACATTCGCTTTCCAGGAACACTCACTTTCCCCGATTAGGAACTAGTCAGTCGCTTAAAGAACCGACTATTATGTCACATCTAAAATAGCAAACAAAAACTCATACTCCCTCTCACATTCACTCTCATCCACTCCCAACCTACCCGAACCACCCAATCCACCAGCCAAAAGTGAATCTCTCACGGCAAAAGATAACCTCAAAGGAACTCCCTCTCTCAACAAATCACCCCAGACTGCGTGGTACAGTGGTCCATCCCACTACTTCCACAAGATCGTCAGTCGCAGCGACCGAATTGATTTCACTTCGCTTGGGTGCACATCACGAATTGTCGGCCGCACCTATTAGATCTAAAAAAAAAAACGTTAATCATAAATTGATTAACAGCCTTTTTTGCCATTTTGACTTGTTTGATTTTTCATGAGTTGAAAAATTTGAGGTGATGTGCGCGAGCAATACGCTTTGTGGAATCCACTTTTTCATGCTAATGAATGAATCATCGAGGTAACAGTTGTGGTTATTGGAGTGAAACTGATAGTAAGGGCTTGTAAAGAACATATTGCTCTCCAGTATGATACTGGTTGTATAATTTTGATATCCATCGTCGAGTTATGTTTTAGAGCTACAGACAGTAAGTCCTTAAGTGTTGCAATAATATTTTTTGTCTTTTTCTATCCACAAGACAAAAATAATCGATGGCCCAGCGCCGACCACTCCGTATACTAACATTCTCCGATGCTGTGTGGATCGCAACCTGTACATAGCTCTCCTTAAATATGTGAGGGTGTTAGGAGTGGTATGATGAGAAGGTAGGAGAGGGAAGAGGGTAGAATCCCCCTGCCCAAAACAGTTATCATTGTGTCTCGTACGTATAGTGAACAGAAATCCATTTATTGAGGCCGAATGCAAGAGCAAAGAGGCATTATTGATGTTCGAAAAGGGAGAAGAAATCTTGATGACAATGAAATAGGGCATGCGATTCATAGGTGAGAGTATCAAAGAGTTAGGCAGCCAAATTCTAAAAGAGCTATGTTTGAGGATTGAAAGAATTCACTCAAGGCTCTTTGTAATGTCTGAATGACATTGAGATTGAAAGCTTTCGGAAAATTCATATCCGATTTGTGGCATAGTCGTGATAGGCTGGACTCCATAGAACAAAAGTTTTGTTGCATATCTGCATCCGGCTCTTGTTCGGCTCTCTCGAAAATGCGGCGGACCGTACTATTGAAAGAGTATACTGTGGGCCTATCCTCGTAGGTTTCTTGGACAATAGAGAGTCACAACCGCGGCTCATTTCAAAGTCGGACAGTCTTTCACCAAGTTTTGGAAGCAAACAAAAGGAGGACAAGTCGAATGTGAAGCTGTTCGTCATATATCGTTGGATATAGTCTAGGGGCTAGCAGTACGTGTTATCTGTAGCTGCCCGTCAAAAATAGAGCACGTCATGCTTACTTCTGTCAAGCATTTGAGCTTCTAAAGCACAGTAATAAAGCTGCTTTGATATGTGATTGTATTTGAATGAGACGTGAAGCTCAATTACCAAAGCAAAGCATTGGGTTCTCGAAGATGCTTCGGATGTTTAAGATGGTTGATGGGAACGATGCCTCAGAACTGATTGGAGGGAGAACCATAGTATATCACCCAAGTTCTAATAGCGCAAAGGATGATAGTACATCTTCACTCTCTGCATTCAAGTATGTTTTGTTGAATAGGTCGCGTCTTATGCAAAAGTGAGTAAAAACGCGTGGAGGGTTCAGAGGCTTGGTAGTTACAGTGAATTACTTTTGACGCGACAGATTTTTGCAAGGCTTGCAGGAAAAACAATCGAACCTGAGAATCAAGCTTCATTCTATTCCCACAAACATTGGCATACCAGGCTTCTACCCATTTTTTACCGTTTTATCACTGCAGTATTCATTACAATGACGCCCCCTACATACAAGTGAGTGAAGCATGATGAAGATGTAGATTCAATATCTATACTGCAAGCAGAATGCCAAGCGCGTGGTGGTACTGCCTTCTGGGTGTACTATACGATTGGAAAGGAGAAAAGAGTACGAGTCACCGCCGACTTAAAATCATTTACGACATGCTATTCAAACAACCCAAAGCGGAAGCTAAATATTTTGAGAGAAAGGCTGGGACGGAAGACCCTAGCCCTGTTCGCCAAGAAGCACTCCTGACAAGCACTATCCCTTGGCTGGCGCGGCAATAATTGACCCTGATCTCTTCTAAGAGCTACCGATGCACACTATACTATGTATAACTGCGCATCACTTTCTCTTTCTTTTCTTCTCTTTTTTTGTAGCGCAAATTCTTTGATTGGATCGATGGATGAATAGATAATTAATGGCATCGTATGGGTGCGGGGGAGGAAAGCCAGAAAAGACGAATCTCTCACATATACGTGGTGCTGGCTACGAACCCGGGTAACACTTAACACTTAACAATATCATGATATTATGTTACTCAGAGCCGAGAGAGATAGCAAAATTAGTGTATAAAATGGGTAGCAGATACATGGAATTGGCCGAACATCTCCTTTGACTCGCATACTATGAGTACATATCTGACACTTGCTCTACAAGAGTTCATCATGGAAAGGTACTATAGTCCTTCTCGAAACATAAAATATTTGGAATGATGAAAGAAGAAATACAATCCTGTACATCTTATACATACAGCGAGCTGGTAAAGGAAACAATTTGAGTCTAATCTTGCGGGGCTGCCAAAGCCGGAAGAATGCTGTCAGTTTTATTCGATATCTACATAATACCTGCACCAGCCGACAATCCCATACAAAGACCTTCCATGAACATGGTAACCTTAAAGATTGAACCACGAGTTTTTCTCATCCTTTCCAAAATATAATACTGTCTACTTAATTTCCAAACCTGGGTTCCTGGTTCGCGCCCTCAATAGCTTTACAGAAACTGAGTCGGAAATCCGTGTAGAACTCAGTCGCAACTTTACCATAATCAGCAGCGCCATCATCGAGGCTCCTATTAAACCGATTAGTTCTAGAATTACACTCTCGAATATCAACGCGACTTACCCAGCTTTAATACCAACAAAGTCAGGCATGAGCTCGAGTTCACCAAAAAGACTGCTTCCGCAGGTCCCGCAGAAGGAACGCTTGTTAATTTTTCCCGAATCTCCGGGAATCTCAAATGTCTTTGGTGTTCCTTGCAAGAGCTTGAACTGGGTTCGAGATATAAGCACGTTGGAGGACGAGGTAGCGCCGCACCATTTTTGACATGCATGACAATGGCAGAGAGCAGTCATCTTTGGTTCGCCTAAAAGATGTTATTGATGTGTATCGAATGAAAAAGCAGATGATGACCTGAAAAGACGAACCTGTGAATTCATATTGAATTTGGCCGCACAAACAAGATCCTTTAGGCATGTCGAATAATGAGGAATTTATAGACTTGAATAAAGTGAGCAAGAAAAGATTGTTTCTGAAATTGACTATTGTTCAATATGTGGATAACTGATCGTGAAAGAACGAGGAAATGCTGCTGTTTTATGCTTTTAGTGACTGCGATCTAGATCAGATTTGTCAGACAGTAAGAAAACATGCATTGAATTAGCCCGGAAGATCGAAGGGAGGCAAACTCCTAGTGATCGTTCTTGCTGCTCGGATCATGATTAGAGTATCCGCAGTACACCCGCGCGGCTCATTGGTAGCAAACTTGCAGCAATCTTTAATCCTCGGTGCGCGGGAGGTAATGGGAGACGACCGTTTAGAAGTGAAACCTCTAGGCCTTCTAAGTAGCAAACAATGGCACTGAGCACAAGCCTGGCACTCATTCCTACCAGTGAATAATATGATTCGTGCAAAGTATGGATGATTATCATGACGTACCTAATTCCATACGTCGTTCGTATTTGACAACACATACTCAATTTGCGTCTCTATGCACGACACGTTGGTATTAAAGCAAACCCTTCTAATAGCTACTTTAACACGATCATTTGTGATCACCAGCCACACAAGGGCATCCCCAAACTTATATGCACAGACGAATAGGGTATTGCCGGCCAGGATCTGCTGATATAAGAGAATACCTGGAGTCGTTCTGCTCGTCAAATACCATACAATACCAGTGAAAGCTACCTAACGAGAGAAACCGCCTTCCTGAACTTTAGTTTTTAACTGTTTAGCTTGACAGATATTCTGGCGTAGAACCTTGATTATGGACCGATTTTTAGACTATCTTGTTTTGTAATAAACGGTACGGTGTCTTCGTGTATTTCTAAGGTTACATCAACTTTTTCAAGAGGGGAAAGTTTGGGGTGACGTTTGGGCCAAGGAATTAGCTTGATGTTTAAGCTTTTCGATGCTAGCTGTGATCTGAACTCAAGGTGGGGTGAGAAGAAAGCCGCGCGGGAGAGGCCAAGAATTCCTTTTGCAGTAAATTATGTAAGCCTTCTTGATGGATTTTAGACTGTTATGATTGGTAAAGAACAGGGCTTCTCGTATATTACGCAAATCCACTTTTTCGAAGAGCGAAAGTCAATAGCTCGAATAGTAAGGCTTGACCTAAGGAGTTATTGATCCTTAAGCTTTTCAATGCTTGGACACGATGTGGGGCATACACCCAAATTAATAACGTGTTTCCAAAAAAATAAGCGATTTTTTCTACCTCATCAATTTTGAAATTTAATTTCAATTACTTCTAGACTCATCAATATATCTTCAAATTGAATAAACTCTTCAAAATAATAAATATCTCAATTAAAGGAATCGATAGATAGTTTTATAGATATATTGAATAAATGATTGTGGAGTTGGAGGTGAATAGAATATAAATTCGATTTTGAGGTTGAAAATTAACATGTTTCCAAGCTGTTTTCGAACTTTCGCCTCGAAATTTCCAATTCGATTAATAACGATTTGAAACAATCAAAAATTGCATAAATAGTACAGTTCATTATTCTCTATCATTTGATCAAATTTTCAATTGAATTGAACTACAATTGATAAAGATATTGTAAATTGAAATTGGAAAATCTAACGTTTAGATGTTTTTGATGAAGCACTGAAATTTAAGGTTTTGGAAACACGTTATTAAATTGGGTGTAAAGCCGCGCGGGAGAAGCCAAGAATTCGATTTGAAGCGAATTATGTAAGCGATTTTAGTAAGTGTCAGTGGTGGAAGATTGATGCTCGCATAACGCAACCTTGAGAGAGTTGAGATCTAGTATGGTATAAAGGGCGGATTTCCTGCTTCAATCATGGTTTCATATCGAATATTCTCATTACTTTCCTAGAACATCCCTACATCATTCTTTCATTCTTCCCCAATATAATCAATGGCTGCCGTTCTACCAACTACAACGAAAGTCTGGAGAGTCCAAGGAACAGACGGATTTGACAGTCTAAACTACAACCCAGAAGAGGCTATTCCAGATTTGTCAGATAATGATGTTCTCGTCAAGTTCCATGCCGCTTCTTTGAACTACAGAGATGTCTCAATACCTCATGTCCGCTCACACTTATTCTTTTGATGGAAAGATGCTAACACAGACTAGGGAACATTCCCATTCGGGTTTAAAAAAGGCGTCGTACCAGGATCAGACGGTGCAGGAGAAGTAGTGGCAGTTGGTGCAAGAGTGACACGGTTCCAGAAGGGCTCGAAGGTCGTGACTCAATTCAACCAGAAACATACTTATGGCTCACTTACCTCGAAGAGCATAAGTACTGCACTCGGCGGGGACCTCGATGGTGTTCTTCGTCAATATGGAACTTTCAACGAAGAGGGTCTTGTGCTGATGCCCAAATCACTGGATTATCAGCAGGCTTCCACTTTGACGGGCGCTGGAGTAACAGCATGGAACGCTCTATACGGCCTCAAACCAGTCAGACCGGGAGAGTTTGTCTTAACACAAGGCACGGGTGGAGTGTCGCTATTTGCCATTCAATTCGCGAAGGCTGCTGGTGCTACGGTCATTGCTACAACTTCGTCTCCTGCAAAAGTCCAACAGCTGAAGGATTTGGGCGCGGATCATGTGATAAATTATAGAGAAGTTACAAACTGGGGAGAGGAAGCCAAGAAATTGACAGGTTCAAGGGAGGGTGTCGATCATGTTATCGAAATTGGTGGAGGTGGAACCATGACGCAATCCATCAAATCGATCAGGATTGACGGCGTTATCAGTGTTATTGGCTGGTTGTCCAAGACTGACGAGAAAGAGCCGAGCTTCCTTGAAACTGTTAGCAAGGTCTTCACTGTTCGAGGATTGTTCGTCGGAAGCAGAGCAATGTTCGAAGAGATGGTTAGTTCATTTTCCCCCCATTAGTCTCCATTCCATGTGGTTCTGTATCCTGTGCTAATTTTTTGAAGAATGCTGCCATCGATGCCACCAACCTCAAACCGGTCATTGATCGTCGCTTATTCAAGTTGGAGGATCTCAAAGAGTATGATTACAAAGCCCTTCCTTATATTGCTAGTAGTCAGTGCTAACATGTCCTAGAGCGTACACATATATGAAGGAGCAGAAGCATGTTGGTAAAGTCTGTATCACTATGGAGTAGATTTTTAGCTTTGACTAGGATGAAGATTTTAATATGAGTAAAGACTTGGAAAATTTCAAGTCCATTATGGTTATACTTCACCAAATACGTGGAAGTGCTCGCTCTCAATGTGGTTTATAATTGAGCGTCAAGCAGGAGCTTGGTAACAACAGTTGACGATTTCAATTTGTAACTAATAGTATGTTGTAACAAACGATTGATCATGAGTACGGAGCTCTACCAGTGTCGTGATTAGTATTTTTCGTATTTGAATTACACTCCATTTTAGTGATACGTATTGATATCTGTGAAGATATTGCTTGGATAAATTGGATAGACTACCTACCCAGTCTATCCATCATATAATGATTGCAGATTAAGATCATGCATTACAAGATATGTTTCTCGTTGTAACACAAGTCTCACCAAGTATAACATGTGACACGAGAATCTGCGCCTTTACATAATCATGTATGCTTCCAGTCCCTCAAGAATTCCACCGGCTGCTTGTTTCGTCTCGAAATCTTGGCAAGCTCTAAATCCAAAACTTTGGTGACCGTAAGAATAAATGTGAAGGCAAACATAGCGCGCGTTTGAGGTTTGACCGATCGTATTTAGAATCTCACCCAAAGAGACCCCAGATAACACTTCTCGCTGGAGCTATGGATGGTAAAAATTTGACTGATAAGAGTACCAATCAGACAAGAAGAGTCTTGACACCTAGACTGGACATGGCTGTTGCCCAGCTACAAGGACTGCTAGGCTGACATTTGCGAAGTCTCCAACACTCTTCCATGATCGAGGATGCATTCTGAAAGTTGCAGAAAATGTCTCGATCCTTATTTGCCAGGGCCGCAATCTGTCGAAACTCGTCTTCAAGCTCTTCGTCTGCCATACAACTAACAATGCAGAAAGGCCATACAAGGTGGCCTATCCATTGACCATTGGGAAGATCTCGGAAGGCTTTCAGGGCTGCTGACACGCTATCTCTGATCTCTGGAATTCTAGGGTATGCACCAGACTGGGTGACATACAAATAGACCTTTGCAGCACATGCGAATATATGAGTGACATGTTGGCTTTCTTGAGCTCGAATGCCACACGGATCAGAATTATCGCCAGTTTGACGAGCTTTGTTCTCTTGTATACCATGTTCAATTTGATCTTCGATACAGGCTGCACGCCTAGCCAGCTGAGATTGGCTCAAATCGCCCAAACCCTCTCGCGTAACTTTCCACTCGGCCAAGAGCGCAATGTCCATAATAGCAATCATAACCCAATTTTGACCTCCCATCAACTTACAAAGTTGGATTCTGCCATTATCAATGCGCAGAATAGAAGGGTAGACATCAGAATACTTTGAATTTGCACCTATAGTTACGGAAGATATACCATCAAACCAGATCAGGGCCGTAGAAAAGAACTCGAGGGCCAATTCTTCGTCCAAAGAAAGAGCGTCGGAATCGGGGTTTGGGGAGTCTCCTATCTCCTGCACTGCATTTAAGTTATTCAACGGCTGAAGAAAATTGTCCTTGAGGCCTATGAAAATAGTTCTCGCAGCCTGCAAATGGGTCTGCCAGTCATTACTATCTCCTTTCAAAACCTACCATGTACAATTTAGCAGGTTTTCAATTCCTTAGATTATAAGGCTCACCTCGAATGAAATCAAACAGATCATACAGGCAAGTATTTCGACTTTTGTCTTTGTCCTGCCCAAACCAATTTCCAAACTAAGCCGATCAATATGCTGCCTGAGACCAACCAGCGCCAGACAATGGTGCTTTTGCAGGTCTTCAAGTATATTATCACTAGTTTTAGACCCACTACCTGAGTACATAGCGCTCTGGTGGCATGCGCTTAAACTCAGCGCCGCATGATACAGTGGCTTAGTATGTAATAAAATACTCAGAAGCCAGCCACGGCCACCTTCTGAGGCCAAAGGCCTGTAGAATCTGAATTGAAGAGGAAAGACAATATCTAAATAATGCATCAAGAGGTTCGCCTCGCGTCCATGATAGTCGTTAATCACGAGGTTCAGTGAGCAGCCCACGCATGATGGCTTCTGGGGTGCATCGCTGGACTCTGTATCTGTCATCGAGTTGTCGGTAATGGGTGTAGATGCTGGACCACTCTTTGCCACAGTGAGACTGACTATCTCTCTTTTCCGTTTCTTGTTCTCTTTTATGACTCTTTTGATTCGCTCCGATTCTGCCTTCTCTGACGATCCTCCATCCATCCAAGTGGGTTTCTCACTATAGCCATGGCAACTGATGCGAAGTGAATCACACGTTGAACACGTGGGTCGTTCTTCCTGACATTTTTTCTTTCGAAGTCGACACGTCCAGCAACCAGTGCTACTTCGTGCTGCAAGCATGATATCTTGTTTGACGAGAAACAAAATATATATGTCAGTCTATTTCAAGATAAATGCGAATGTAAGTTTCCACACATGCGACGTAAGTTCCCTTCTCCCGGACACCTTTTTTTTCGTCCGGCTCTAAGCTTAAAGGGTGCTAGTTACAGTGGGGTGCAAGAAGTTTGGATCATGAATCCACACCCTCTCGAGACCCCTTCCACGCCTACAAGTATGATTCCTTCAATCCCGATCACTTACACCTGTTTTTCTACTTCGTCACTTCAGCAGTGTCCCGAAAATTGTGAATTTTAAATTCTTTGTTGTATAATGAAAATGTGTGTGGCACTTATCTTACAAATCCTCACAATTGTGAAGAGTATGGCTACCTACCTAGGTTCTTACACTAAGCAGGTGAGAGGAACAGCAGGTATAAGATTTTAAAAAACATTTTGAGGGAGAACATAGCCCATTCCGGGTGTCTGATCAAAGAGGACATTGTGTTGCTTCTGTCACATGACGCTTTTTTTCTGTATTCCTGTGGCAGGTGTCATGTTCTAGCCTAGGAATGCTGGTGGGTAGGTGGGTATCTCTACGCAAGGACCGTGTTCTTTCTTCTCCTCTTTCCTCTCTTCTCCTTGGTTATAGATTCTAAGTAGTATAATTGACTCCCTTTCACGACAATCTTGTTACAGAAACCTACCATTAAGCATAATTTGATGTCTTTTACTTGTGGCACGCCCAAAATTCAGAACAGATTTTAGCCATGTTGCGAAGTTCGGCTTGAAAGTTTTTGTTATATATAAGCTGCTATCCATAGATAAGACCCTTCCAAAATAGACCAGAGAACGCTATTCACTTTCTGCTTTTACAGTGTTCTATTCTAAATGTTTTCCACCTACAAAACTGAAAAGGAATAGTGTCACTGCTTTTGTTACCTCCTTTTTAATGTCTATCACAGCCTGTTCTGGATTTACATGTGCTGTCTCGCTTTTAAATCGGAAACAAAATGATGAGGTTCTTTTGCCAGACATCAATGCAAACCATGTCTAGAACCTTTCAGATTGAAGAGTCATTTCAGTGGCAGCTACGGTTTGTGCTCATACCCCCTGAGCTCTAACAGGCGAACAAGACGTATCAAGTCTGCAAAAGCAGGATGACTTGACAGGAACATCTGCAATCGCAAGGGCTATTTTTAACTGTGGCTCAATGAGGCGCGCCTCTGTCTTACGGCCAAGGCGTGTCAAACACTCGTGATAGCCCTGGAGAGCCCAGACATTGTTTGGATGTTGATGAGCACGAGGCAGTATCCCGTCAAGTCCAAGGTCCGCGCTATACACTTTTGCGGCTTCTTCGACATGTCCTTGCTCCAGCATTAGCGCAGCGTAGGCATGGCGCGGTGGCTGCATCCAACCCCATGGCTCACTGTAGGTAAGTCCGTCACTGAGTTCGATGGACTTGCGAAGACTTGCAAATGCTTCCTCATAGCTCCTGCGGCGGTATTGAATTTCTCCGTCCAGCATAGCAGCACCCACAGCCAAGATATCAGCACAATTGTTAGGATAAGCCGAACGGGTGGCTGGAACTTGCTCCACAGCAGATTTGAATAGACTCCGCTCTTTCTCCGCCTCCTGCACGTTGGAAGTTGCGGCGTATGCCACACCCTTTGCGTAATGAAGCATAGCTGTAGTGACACAGTACAACTGACGATCAGTAGGTAACTCCATCTGGATAACATCTTCCCACATTCCAAAGCGAACCAAGACATGAACACGGACCGACATAAAAGTCTCAAGCCAATCCGCCATAGGAGGTGACGGGACACGCAGCAAAGCCTCGGGACAAGATGCTTCCATTTTCGCTACAGTTTCAAGAGCGATCTTAGACTTGCCCGCAAACATTGCTGCATAGATCAAGGAGTGGTAATCGTGAAGTCGGTAAATTGTATAGAAATTGTTCGGACCAGATCGGCTTAGAAACTTTTCATTGGCAATTGAGGCGTTGTAGTTGCAGGCAATTGCGCGCCGGTAATCACCGATGAGGATATCCAGGTGCGAAGGCATGTGGCGGAGGTGACCAGCATCGGGTATCAGGTCGCATAAATAATCTGCCGCGTTCAATCCAAGCTCTGGATTCGGAGACATCTCAATGCAGTGGATGTACATATGTAATAGACCTGGGTGTCGATTTGCTCCATCCTGGTCCAAAGCACGCTCGAGAACACTCTTGATTTTCAAGGTGCGAGCGCCCGGGCTGGGATTTCCAGTATGAAGATCCCATAGTTGCCATGGGCTCAGATTCATCATTGCGTCAGCATAGAGAGTGGCTACGTCAAGACTGTCCGGATGCTGTTCATAGACTGATTCCATAGCGTCGGCGTAGGCTCGATTTTGGGCAGAGTAATCCTTAACTAGGTAGTCATACGGATAGCGAAATTGGATTGCGTCGATGAGCGCCTGTTCGAGAGTCGTCGCACCGGCGGCATTTGCTTTTGCATCTCTAGAGGCTTTATAAGTCCGCTGCACCGTTGTTTTGAGATCACTCTCATCAAATGTTTCCCAGGGTTTGTTGTAGTTTGGGCCCAGGGCATATGCTAACCCCCAGTAAGCTATTGCACAAGAATGGTCGTGTGCTATAGCCTGTTCGAAGCAAATGGCCGATTCTTCGTGGTTGAATGCATAGGCCCATGTTAAGCCACGGTTGAACCACACTTGCGCATCTTTGCTCTTGGTACTGATGTTCAGCTTGAATGATCCGAGGTTATAGTATTCAGTGATTGAAGGGATCGCTCCTCCTTGCTGAGATTCAGACGTCATCATAGGTGAGGGAAGTGTCTTAAAGGTCGAGGGAATCGAATGAGATAACTCTCAGAGTTTTATGATACGAATGGATATCAATATTGAATATAGTAGTAATTTAAATCTGGTAAGAGTGATACTGAAATCAGACGACTGAAATCACCCAACTAGGTTTCTATATATAATCAATATCGATTTCAACTTTTATTTCGAAATTCTAAGACTAACATCAATCGATCTTAGAGGCTGGATTTGTAATTGGATCTTTTTACAGTTGTGAGGAGGTAGACAGGAGGCAGGGACCGAACGGTATTTCAACGACAGTCGCGTAACATCCAGGGGGTCAGCGATGATGAGAGTCACTTGAGGTATGGGGGTGCCTTGTTGGTAGAAGTCTAATAAATTGAAAATTGGTGGCGAGAGCTGGCTTATTAGCCTTGTGCAGAAATGTCAAGGCAACTCTTTGCTTCCGCGCGGCTTTACCAGGTGCGGAGTATGCCGACCTAAAAAATTTCTGACAGCTGTCGTATATTCTGCAGAGATTATGCAGAGTCGGTTGTTCTCCCAACGAATAAGAAAGTCATTACTAGCTTCCGCCGGGAAAGTGTAATTTTCTGGCGCACGGCTCCGCATTTTCGGCTCGCCTTGCCTTCCGCGGGGCTTCTCGGCAAAGGTGCTTTCGAGAACCGCCTTAATTTCATCAGCACTTGATCTTGACATTGCGGTAAGCTTCTGTCTCTATTTTTTGTTTAATATGGTTTCGAATATTACTAAGATCAGACTGCTTCAAAATCGAATATTTCGCATCCGATGGACTGAATTACCAATTTCTACGATCTAGAATAATAAAGATTTTATTATATATGGCCTCCTGCCTTGAACAGTCTCGTGAGTACCTACCCTCAAACCCATCCTCTCATCGAATAATCCAATCTCTATTGAAACTTTCAATTTACCATCTTTTTGGCCGACATCATTCAAAATGCTTCCAATCACACTTTATTCTCATCCTTTCGGTCCTAACCCGTGGAAGGTGGCCCTCATCCTCGAGGAGCTGAACATCCCTTACACAACAAAGTTTGTGGATTTCTCCGAAGTCAAGAAGAAGCCATATACTCAACTCAACCCAAACGGACGGTTGCCATCTATCGAAGATTCTAACACCGATATTACACTCTGGGAATCCGGTGCTATCATCGAGTACTTGATTGAAAAATATGATATCGAGCACCGGTTGAGTTATAACACCTTCCCCGAAAAATATCTCGCTAAGCAGTGGCTGCACTTCCAAGCTTCTGGTCAAGGGCCATACTATGGTCAGGCTTCTTATTTCACCAATATCCACCCCGAAAGCATCCAGAGTGCCATTGATCGATACGCGAAAGAGATCCGTAGAGTCACTGGAGTTCTTGAATCCGTGTTGAAGACTCGAGACTGGTTGGTCGGCGACAAATGCACATACGCCGATCTCTGTTTCATAGCATGGCAAAGATGGGCACCTCGATATGGTGGTGAAGATATTTATAAAGATTGCCCACATATGGAGGCATGGCTGGAGAGGATGAAGATGAGACCTACAGTCAAGAAGATTTTTGCTGATCAGGATCTCGCTATGGCACAGGTCGAGAAGATATGAACACGGTAGCATGTGGATGAGACACTATGCACAGTTAGGCTGTCTACACGAGGTCCTCCGTAGAGCACAACAAACTTCTCTTTTTCTGCTGTGCTCTTCTGTTGAGCGGTTGCTTCACCAGTGACCTTGTTCGAAATTTTTTAGAAAGTAGTTGCCGATGTGTGTTTATCATATTTTCATCATGAAAGCAAGTGATTTTGCTTTCACCTATTGAACCTAATGATATTCAACGGTACCTGTACGTTGGCTCATAGGGTAGGTGTTTCAATATTGCATCTCGCCATAGAATAGGTTCGCTAGCCGCAATATTAATCTCTATTAGCATGTAATGATTCAAAACCTGTACATGATACATCCTGTAAACTGTGATTTATTTATAGAGCCAAGATTGAAACAGATTGAACCAAGGTGAAGGTTGTACTTGAAAAGGGGTGCTATCGAGTATAATAACATTGAGGATTGGGCTAGAAATTACGAATTCGTCAACTAAACGAAGATGAAAAGATTCGACGACCAACAAGACAATATCAATTTCGAAGTGAAATTATCCTTATAAATCTGTAGTGAGATGCAGAGTCTAACAGGTT